TGGTTTATAAGGTAAAAACCTTCTGAAGTTTCAGTTTCTAACTGATTTTTATGCCAAACATAGTGAACACATATCAACAAATATATTTTATGGAATCCATACAACCTACATAATCAGAGTAAACATATCCTTCGATTTCTACTTTACTGTCATCACTACAAGATCCACTATAAATCAGGACTTTGCTTAAAAACCCATTTATGTACCTTAGAATCCAATTCAATACTTGCTAATGTGCCTTTCCAGGCTTGGCCATGTACGCACTTACAAGGCTCACTCCAATGTTATTTTTGGCCTTGTACAAACTATAACATACATTAAAGAACCCATTATACTAGCATATGGTATGATATTCACATAGACTCAACTTAAGTACTGGACTTTGAGTCGTACTCAACTTGAATTGTGGATTTGTTGGTGTCACAACAGGATTTGAATTTGACACACCAAACTTGTCGAGAATCTTCTGTATATATGTCTCTTGAGATAAGCATAATTTGGACTGCTTTCTATCTCTCCGGCTGTTAATCCTGAGAATCTCTGAGGCAACTCCAAGATCCTTAATTTCAAACCTTATCAAGTTCATCCCCCACCTTTATTACATCCTCGACATTGTTTCTTGCTATGAGGATGTCGTCCATATATTGTAACAAAATAATAAATGAACTTCCAGGTCGAAATATGAAGTAAACAAAGTGGTCAAATTGGCTCCTAGTGAAACCTATGTGTGCCATGAACATGTCGAATCTCATATTCCACTATCGAGGAGATTGTTTCACCCATACAAAGACGTAGTCAATTTTAACACATAATATTCCTTTAATTTTTCTAGCATACCCTTCATGTTGCCTCATCAAGATTGTTTCATCTAGATAACCATACAGGAAGGCGGTCTTCACATTCATCTATTCAAGTTATAGGTCAAACTTCGTCACCATGGCTAACAACATTATAATGGATCTATGATTTACAACAAGTGATAACAAATTGTTAAAGTCAACTCCTTATTTCTGAGTGAATCCCCTCACTACCAACCTTGCATTTTATCGCTTCGACATCACTCATTTTATTCCTTCTTTAACTTTGAAAATCCACTTACATCTGACTAACCTGACCCCTGCAGGTTTCTCGATCAGCTCCCAAGTGTAATTATCATGAAGAGATTTCATCTCATCATCCACAATCTTTATCCATTCAGTCTTATTTTGACTCTTCACAACTTCCTTGTAGTATATAGATTCTTCACCTAGAACCTCACTTGCAGAGATTAAGGAAAACACTATGAGATTTGTGTAACCAAGTATCTAAGGTAACTTGATGGCCCTTCTCGACATGTCTCTTGCCAACAAGTAGTCATTTTATGTTTCCTCATTTTCATCAGCAATTTCTGCTTCTTCTTCTACTTCATCTGGTTTATGCAATTCAGCATTACTACGCTCGACCTCAACATGAATCTCTTCTTGTTCCATCTCCTCTTCAGAGATTTCTGCATTTCGATCAGCATCATCAGTTTTCTTGAATGTTATTTCTACTTCATTGAAAACTACATCTCGACTTGTGATACACTTCTTAGACATGGCTCTAGGCACCACAACCTGTAAGCTTTGACTCATTCAGGGTACCCCATGAACATGTATCTTAGAGCTCTAGGTTCAACCTTGTCTTGCCTAATGTGAGCATAGGATACACATCCAAATACTCTAAGTTTATCGATATTAGGTGGATGTCCCGACCAGACTTCTTCAGGTGTCTTCATCCCTAAGGCAATGGAATCACATCTATTTATCAGATATGTTGTTGTCGAAATAACCTCAGCCCAAAACACCTTCTTTAATCCAACACTAAGTAACATGCATTTAACTCTTTCCAAAATGGTTCGATTAAACCTTTCAGCTAAACAGTTTTGCTGAGGAGTACCTATAGTAGTTTTGTGCCTTGCAATACCAAATGTAACATAGCTTTTGAAAGCCTCGTTGCGAAATTCAAGACCATTGTTGATTCTCAACCTCTTGACCTTCTTGTCAGTTTGGTTTTCGACAAGAGTCTTCCAAATTTAGAAAAATTCATCCTAAACTTTCTGAATGAATACCCATAACTTTCATGAGTAATCATTAACTTTCCTCAGTGTGAGAGATTCCTTGCAGGTCTCCAGAGATCAGCATGAATATGTTCAAGGGATCCATGTGTTCTTTGTTTACTTTTGTTAAATTTCACCCTAATAGATTTACCAAATACATAAGGTTCACAAAACTCCAGCTTTTCGACCTTGTCACCACATAGAAGACATTTTCTCGATAATTCAATCAGGCCTCTTTCATTGATATGGACAAGTATCTTGTGCCATAGCTCAAACTTCATCATAGGTTTTATGGATACCACATCATCTGAAATCTTAGGATACATTGCTCTCCTTTGAAAACATATCCTTTCTTGTCAAATTCACCAAGAGAAATCAAATTTCTCTCATATCAGGTATATATATATATATATATATATATATATATATATATATATATATATATATATATATATATATATATATATATATATATATATATATATATATATATATATATATATATATATATATATATATATATCTGACACTAGTCAATAGTTGTATTGACTCATCATAGAGCTTGAATCTTACACATTCAATACCTGCAGTCTTGTAGGATTTGTTGTTTCCTAACATCACTAATCCACCATCTTAATCACATAATTCCTCAAATACATCTTTGTATGGAGTCACGTGCCAAGTACATCCTGAATCTATAACCCATTCCTTGCAAGAATTTTTGCTCGAAACTACCAGGACATCCGATGATTCATAATTATCTTGCACAAAGGCTGCATTACCATTACCACCATGATTGTTCTGGCGATCAGGGCACACCTCTCTCGTGCAACCCTCATTCTTACGGTTATAACACTTAATTGCAAGAATATCACCAACATAATATTTCTGCTGACCTTTACCATTTTTCTTCTCAAACCCGCCATCTTTCTTCAAGAATTTTTCCTTAACGGACAAACCTTCACCAACAAACGATGACTTATGCTCCTTTGGTTCATTCAAGTCCTTTACGTATAAGGCAGATTGAAGTTTTTCAAAGATCATGGACTCTCTTTCATACAAGAGATTTTATTTGACGTGAGCATGAGACTTAGGTAAAGAACACAACAATAACAATGCTTGATCTTCATCATCAATTCTAACCTCGATATTCTTCAGATCAAGAATCAACTTATTGAATATATCCAACTACTTAGTCAAAACTTTATCTTCACTCATTTTGAATGAATACATAGCTTGCTTCAAGTTCAAATGATTTACAAAGGGTTAAGTCATGTACAATCCTTTAAGTTTTGTCCACACACCCGCTGTCGTCTTGTCCTTCAAAATCTTCCGAAGAACCTTATCACCAAGACTCAATACGATGGTGATGTGGGATTTCTCTATCATCATCATCGTATTCTCCTTCTCTGTTAGGGCAACATCCATGACTTCAGCTCCCTTCAACGCTTTTAGCAAATAATATTGAACAAGAAGGGATCACATCTTCAAGCGCCATAAACTAAAATCATTCACTCCGGTGAATTTTTCAATCTCAAACTTTGTTGACAACATTTTCTCCACGCTTACTACACCAGTTTGTTGTAACAGAGTGCCGTCAAGAAAAAAGAAAAACTGAAAAAGATTGAGTTTATTGAACAAACACAAGAAACTCTATTATGTTTTACGAAAGAGAGAAAAGAGAGAAGAAGAAGAAAATCAAGATTGATTATAACTATTTTACTATTCACTTACTCAATAAGGGTTTAAAGATTACAAGTGAATAACAACAACGAAACTCTCTCAACAACCTGAGAGAAACAATCTATTTATAGACTACTAAGTTAACATAAGCTACAAGCTAACTTAAATAATTGGGCTAAGCAAACAGGTTCAATTCGATATGCTAACAATTTTAGCATTTCGATTACTGCATACTTAAGCATACTCCAACTACAATATACAGGACTTTGACATCAATATGTGTACAGACTTTGACAACATAGTTAATCTTTATCAAACTAAAAAAATATTTTTATTTAGACTAGAGTTCGATCCAAAAGAAGGTTTCCAAGAGTTTCTTAAACTTAATTTTTCTAAATTGGTGGGCGTTGGAGTACCATTTCATTGCTATTAGTTATTTCCATTCTAAAAGGTCGCTCAGCCAAAAATGTAATCTAAGAAATGTGTGTAGATAGATGATATCCCTTCTTTTTGTTTGCATGAATTTGTATCCCACTTGTCTCTAGTTTTTTTTCCCAATATGTGTCTATATTAAAATTTAAAATAAAATTATATTACATATAGTGGCTATATATTTATTAATTAGAGTTAGATATGTTTTTTTTTTATAAATAATTTAAATTTGATTTTAATATTTATAATTATTTTTTAATATTAATCTTTCTAAAAATTTTCATCATACTTTTGATCTCTCCTGTTAAAATTGTCGTTAATTCAGTCACTTAATAGAAACTGTTGTTAATTCAGTCGTTAAATTATAAAGATTGTCGCTAAATTACGTGAGATAGAAAAATATAAATAAAAATTTTAAGAAACATTTTATTTTAAGTGACTAAAAATGAAATATAAAATATTAATGCATCACAAATATATTTAACCTATTATTATATATAAAACCAGAATAACACAAAGTACACATACATATAACAGAGTCACTTACAAAACAACAACACTATGTCTAAATTAAGGACAGTTATGAAAACACAACACATCCGGCCGGTAGTAATTATTGCTTCAAACTAGCTACCGTCGAAGGTTGTCTTTGGTGTTATACGTTTAATGTGCATGATGCGACAAAAAGGACCCAACACACATGTTGCCAAAAGTAGTAGTTGCATTGCATGCACCAGCTACCATGTTTTATTTCCACATACTAGTTAAGTAACTAACTAGACCAGAAGAGTACTGGAGAGTGATCATGTTAATAATATAGAGAACCTGCACAAACACAAAATTAATTATATATTTTATTTTCAGTTTCTTTTGTTATTGCTTTTGCTAATGGACATGCAAAGATTAATATATTTCTAACCTTTCCACCAGTTTCCTCTTGAAGCACTGCCTGAATCGCTACCATTCGAATCATCATCATCATCATCCTTATTCTTCTTGATCTGTAAAATCATTTAAGAGTAAACTTGAGCATATTTATCATGAGCAGGTCCGTCTTTGAGATCGTGCAAAACTGACTAATGTACAAGGTTCAAAATTTGTCAAATTAAATTATGACTAAATAAAGTATTTTTCACGGTTAAACTATTATTAAATATTTCTTACAATTAAACTATGACTAACTTAAGACGAGTTTGATAAAGAGCATATATGGTAAAATGGATGAGAATATAAGGGAGTTACAATATGGGGAGGTTGAGTGGTCCTGCAGGTTCTTGGAGAATTATAATTTTCCTGACCACCATAATAGATTGATGAGCTGTAGTAACTAGGCTCCACTGTCTCAGTTTGATAATTGGTATCACGACTACTATTCTTGTTAGAGATGCCACCACTATTTTCACCTTTGTTTGAGTAATTTCCTGAAACCAATTCCAAACTCAAACTTTACTATATAAACTCAAACATGAAAAAGTTATATGTTCCCTCTATGTAGACAAGTTTTGAGGCTGGAGTTAACACAAAATGGCATGGCATATATATTTTGTACTCCAACCAAGTCAGATTAGTATGTCAAATGTTTAACGAACCTGTCCATAGTTATTGCTTCCCATTTCGTGCCTTGTTGAATCTCTTCTCCCAACCTAAAGTTACAAAATAGATTAATATAATTCATAAACAATATATAGATTCTCATATACACCGAGACACATGTGAAAAATATACTCATTCATCTTCAAATTCTGAGTTTTAATTGTTTTTCTAACAAATTTCAGACCATCCGCGTATACTCCATTATTGTTTTTTTTTTTTTGTTTATCAAAGATTCTCTTCATTATTCAAAGATGTATTGGACACTATAAGGTTCTGTTTGAAAATGCAATATTTTCGGTTTATAACTTATAAGTTTATATATTTAAAAAAGAATTATAAGATAATATATTTTTTTTTATTGATTTATAAATATCAATAATTTTTATATTATTAATATTATGAGAAAATACAAAACATGTTGTCAAAGATTGGACTCTCGAACAATAAATAACTCATATCAATTGAACTATTTTACTCACCCTTTTTATTATTTATTAGATAATATTATTTTTAAAGAATTTATAATTCATTTTGATTGGGCTTATAGTTTTTGTGATAAGTTAGTTCAAGTATATCTCATGTTTTTTCTCACTGTTTTTTTTTATATCTTAGTTGAAAAATATTAAATATTAATTTAATATATTTTTATTATGATAATTATATAATAATTAAACTATTAATTTTATAAAAAATTATAAATTTATTTAACCAATTTTTTTTTAAAGTACAAATCAGATATTTTCTACATACAATTGTGAAGACTAACCCTGCTGGACGTAGAAGATCATAATAGATCATAATTTTTTTTAAAGAAATTTAACACTGCTGCGTGTTTAGGATTAAATTTGAATCTAAAACATTGATTAAATTGAAAGAGAATCCTACCATCGCAATCAAATAACTTCTGAATTTTTAATGAACTTATTTGTTAACAACTCTCGGCTAATTTATAAATTATCAAATCATCTATATAATCATCGGTTAAAGTTAGATTATCTATTATAGCTTTTTTATAGCTTTTTGACAAACAAAGCTTAAATATAAACATCTTTCAACTCAAATTCAAATATATAGACCCTCTAAACCGATTTTATGGTGTACAACTTTTAGATTAATAGAGATAAATTTTCTCTTAAGAATTGTTTAGCGGGCTAATGCCACTGCATATGATCCATTTTGAAAGACCACTAGGTCAAAGTTAGAAACAATCTATATGCATATATCAAAAACTAATATTGAAGCCAAAAAAATAATATGAAAAAATGAAAAATTTTAGGGTCATGCATGCATACATGAGCACAATATGAAGAGATAAAAATTATATAAGAGGGGGGAAATCATGCATACAGTGGATGGAGGTGGGAAAATGGAGCTAAAGAAGCTGGTGGAAGAAGATGAAGTAGTGGAAGGATCTTTGGGACCAAAAAGATGATCAAAATTGGTAGGAGATGAGGAAGAACCAGCTCCTCCAACTTTCTTTTTGTTGTTCTTGTTCTCCATGTCTTTTGCAACTAAGTGTATGATTCACTACTATTATTAAACTTTTTGAGTGCTTTTTGAAAAGCAATTAACGAACAAAACTGGTTATAGAAAAGAAGGTAAAGAACAAAACTAACGACTAAAGATATTGGATAAGGTTTGCATGGAAGAAGCAAACAAATTAAAGAGATAAGTAAGAATTAAGGAGAGAGCAGAAGGCAGGGAAAAAGGAGAGGAGAACACGTGATCGATAGAAGATTGTGTGTTGGAACATGTAACGTATGAAGAGGTATTTATAAGCCCATAGTATTGTAGAATGCCCCCTCCATCCATGTGCTCTCACTTGATTTCCATCCCTTTCCATTCTCTATGACACATGCTTGTCTTAGTGGGACCCACATGGAAGTTATTCCCAAATCCCAATAATTCTTCTATGTCTCTCATGGTAGGTTTTCAATCTTTGACTTCTCTAAATATTTTTTTATTTTATTTTTTTACAAAAATACATTAATATTCTAGTAGAAGAAATTGAGAAGAAAAAATCACGTGAAAAGAGAAAAAGAGATAAGAAACATAATAGTTTAAGATATTGATTGATTTTAGAGAAAGAGAAAATATATAAAAAAGATAAGTGTGTTTAATTTTTAAAAGACAAAAAACACTTTTATACCAAAGATATGATTTATTTTTAGGGGAAAGGATAAAAAAGAAAATAGTCAAATATTGATGCTCTCTCACTTCATTCTAAATTCATTTGTTTGGGGAGAAAAAAAATGTGGGTTTTATGATGTTTTTATTCTGTAGCTTTTATTTTTATTTCATGTATTCTCTCTGTTTTAAAATGAGTGTCGTTTTAATAAATAAGATTTATTTTAAAATAATATCATTCTCACTTTCAATATATAAATAAATGTTATTTTTTCAATTATTAATCTCTACACTATTTCTAACATATTTATAAATATAGTAGAAGTGTAATTTCTTATGACACTATTATTATATTTTTTAATTGTGCATAAAAACTTTAAACGACATTCATTTTGAAACAAAGAGAACACTAATTAAAAGAAATTCTCTCTCTCTCTCTCTCTCTCTCTCTCTCTCTCTCTCTCTCTCTCTCTCTCTCTCTCTCTCTCTCTCTCTCTCTCTCTCTCTCTCTCTCTCTCTCTCTCTCTCTCTCTCTCTCTCTCTCTCGTATTTCAATCGCATTAATCACAATGTAACTCCATTAAGTTCAATGTGATTGAATTTTCCATACCGAATATGAATGAGTACAATTGTTGTACCCCAATTTTTGCCCCTAAGATCCTCTTACCATACCATATTGATTCAATCACAACAAGATCACATTAGGGCTTTTGGTTCTCCTTCCTATCTTTAGCTTTGCTCTTTGAGGAATCACTAATCACCTTGACTTGTTTTTCTTGTGTAATCATTCATGTTTTTATTTTTACTTTCCTTTTAATTAATAAAATGCAATGTTGGTTTGTCTTACTTGTCAACAATGCAGGTAAAGGCAATGGGGCTTAGCAAGTTGATCAATAAGTTCATGAGTTTATTTCCATGACCTAATCAATGAAGCTTGAGAAGTTCAAACCTCACCATGAAAGTTGTTTTGGAAGGGATGGCATGGCAAGGTTATTTTGGTTCACTATATTTCCAAATTATCAAGATTGATTCAAAAGTTCAAGGGATTGATTGAAGGAGTTGTCATGCTTGGATAAGGCCTTGTTCCCATTGATCACAAGTGCATATTTCTCTAAATTCTCAAGATATAGAAGTGGTTGTGGTTGTTATGAGTTCTCATTATCATCCTCAACAACTTATATTTACAAAGCATTTATTTTGGTACAAGAAGTTTGTTCAAAATTGTCAAAGTTCCTCAAAGCACGGTCCTTAATTTAGGAGATAGGGTTTTGAACTTCAAAGGAGTATATCTTGCTCATCTTTTAGTATTTTTGAGTGATTCCAAAGACATCCTTCTCTTCAAAAGGTTATCAACAAATCACTTCAAAAGTTCCAAGAAGTTTTCATGTGGAAGAAACTTGATGAAGAAGAAAGATTACAAGTCCTCCAGATGAATCCCCATTTTTCCATGTGTGACTTCAAATGATCATAACTTGGTCAATTTTTATCATCTTGAGCCCATTCTTTTTCCATAATTATCTTGAATATGTGAACTTTATGCCTTCTTTTATGTACAAAGTAAGAAAATGAATGGAAATTGCCTTAAGGATACAAAAGATTATAGGTCATTTCATGATTTTTTGCCCACTTCAACAATTCATAACTCTCTCAATTTTTGGAGATTTTGAATAGTTCAAGTTCCAAAATATCATTCAAGAGATCTACTTTATTCCATCTTTTTTGGTCAAGAGAAAATTCCAAGTAGAAGGCTATGTTTGGATGCAAGACATTATAGGTCACTTTTGAAGAAGAATTTGAAATATTTCTAAGTATGAAAAGTCAACATTTTTTCTCCAACTTTGACTCAACACAACTTTCAGCTCAAGAATTCATTTGATTCCATTGTTTTTCTATTTCAAAGCTTGTAACCTCATCTTTCTGAAGCATCAAGAATCATGCCCTAAGACCCCCCTTGAGCTGAATATGCCATTGGTCAGAAGTTGACACTTTGAAACTGAATTTTTCACCAAGTCAGAAGTTTGAAATCTTTGTTTTGACTTCTAATCACAAGACTTACACGCGTTTTTGATTTAAACTTGATTAACAAACTTTCCAGAAGTGTTTAGCACCTCAAAACGCAATGATTGGATGAGTTTTGGTGAAAATTATATCACACTTCACTCGTACATCAGGTTTGCACGATTTCCCTCCAAAATGCACCATTCACTCTTCCTTTTGATCCCATTTGTTTCTCCTATAAATACATGAACTATCCCATTAATTTTCTCAAGCTTGGATAGCCAGAATTACCCTGTCAAACTTGTTCCATAACTCAGAATTCAGCAACTTCGTAATCCATATATGTGATACGGTGGGAGAACTGACTTGGGTTTTGCGTTTGTTTTCGCAAATGTTTCGATTGAGCAAGAGTCGCCACCAACTTTTTATTTTATCCTAAGGAAAGGTTAAAAAGCGCAGCAAAAACCTTTGAGATGTTTTCTCGGGTTCGGGGAGTAGATTATAGAAAGGGAAGGTATTAGCACCCTTTCTATCCATGGTTATCCATGGGCTCTTAGTTACTTGCTTAGATCACTTGCCTTGCATTTTCAATTGTTTGAAATGGTGCTTTGTGTGTGCGGTTTTTGAAAATGTTTTGAAAAAGATGCCTTGTCTAGGCAACCCTTGTAACAATTCTTTACTCGAATGTTTTACAAAAGGTGTTTGTCTTTTTGAAAAGATGTTTCAAGGTTTTGAAAGTTGTTTTGAAAGTTGTGTTGTGAAATGTGTTTTGAAAAAATGGCAAGGATTTGTTTTGCAAGTTGGTCAAGTAACCAAGAGCCATCTACCCTAAATTTCTCAAAGATCTTTCCTATGTTTTAACCCTTTTAACAGTATTGTTCCACCATTGTATTTGGTGGACAATCTTGTGTTAGGATGTTAACGGGACGGGCGCGGGTCATCGTTTAGACCATGAATGCAATAGTGCCAAGTGTCTTTGGCAATTTTTCCTTTAAGGGACTTGATCATTTTTTAGGCAACTTGAGAAAGCGTCATCGAGGGACTATGATCGTTTTGATTTGTTTTTGTTTTGCCAAAGACACTCAACATGCAACATGGCCCATTTTTTGAAGGCAACAAGTGGAGGAACCCTAAGGGTGCAAGTGTGCATTGTGTTGTCCATTTTCATGCTTGTTTATCTTTGAATTAGGTCAAGCTATTTGTTATTTGATTTTTGCATACAAACCCTAGGTCTATCATGGCATAATTTGAAAGCTTTTAAATGCGGAAATTTAAAGTCCTAAATTATTACAACATGATTATGGGGATGGGGGTACAAATGTTTGAATGGGGGATATTTAGCAAGAAATTAAATCTAAAACTATTACATCCATATTGAATATACAAATTATTTAATTGTACAATAATTAAATAAATACAATAAATATGCAAAATGTATTATGCACAAAATGGTTTTTTATGTATGTAAAAGTATTTTCAATATAAAATATAAACAAAAATAAAAAGGTTAATTTTTGATATTTTTATGGTCTTAGGGCAAAACCCTAGTTTTCTAAATAAATAATATTTATTTACTAATATTATACAATATTATATATTAATTCATGCAAAAAAATAAAAAAAGAAGTATATTGTAAAAAAAGGTATTTTTTAATGTCATATATTAATAAAATAAAAAATGTATTATTTTCATATTTTATCCTAAATATTCTAATAAATGTACAAGTATTTATATTATATATATATTTAACTATACTAAATATGTACAAAAATAAAAATATTAATTATTTACAAAAAAAGTATATTTTTTAGAAAATGTTTTCAAAAGGTAAATAAAAATAATGGCTGAAAATATATTTTTGTGTTATTTTTAATGTTTTAAATAAAAAGGTATTTATATTTATTTTACATGTATAAGTTCAAATAAAACAAATAAATTCCAAATAAAATGCAAAAATGGGTGGAAAAATATTTTTTATATTTTTTATATTTGAGCAAAAAATAATAAGTCAGAATCAAAAAGAAAAAATCAAAAATGAATAAAGTATCACACAATGGGCCAGGGGGGTGTAAATGGAAAAAGAGGGTGCAAACAGCAAGAACAACTCAGGCCCAACCCAAGTCACCCTTCTTCAACCTCCAGCTTCTGTCTCAAAAACGCACGCCCTCTATGCTTCATTCAAACTTCCTGATTCTTTGACTTTTAACAAAAACTCATAACATAAACAATGTAGAGCATGAAGAGACGAATTCATACATATAAAAATCTTGACCTAACTCTCAGAAACGAGGGAGAATTTCTCCATCCCCAATTTCTGACCTAAGTTTTCTTCAATGTTCATGACCAAAATTCTCACAGCATGCATAATATAAAT